CTCCCCGACCCCGAAGATGACCACTCTTCGGGTTCTGCTGCACGTCGCTGCTCAGCGTGACTACGAGCTTCACTCTCTTGACTCCAGCATAGCCTTCCTGCAGGGCAGCCTGCATGAGGAGATCTGGCTGCGCCGCCCACCTGGCTTCACTGGGTCGTTTCCTCCTGGTACCCAGTGGAGCCTCCGGCGGCCAGTCTACGGTCTCCGCCAGGCGCCCCGTGAGTGGCACGACACACTGAGGACTACGCTTGCGGCTCTTGGGTTTGCTCCTTCCACTGCTGACCCGTCGTTGTTTCTCCGCACCGACACTACTCTGCCGCCGTTCTACATCCTCGTGTACGTCGACGACTTGGTCTTTGCTACTGCTAACACTGCTGGACTGGCCCACGTGAAGTCGGAGCTGCAGAAGAGACACACGTGCACAGACCTGGGTGAGCTGCGCAGCTATCTTGGCTTGCAGATCACCCGGGACAGAGCACGGCGCACCATTACCTTGACTCAGTCACACATGGTGTAGCAGGTCCTTCAGCGCTTCAACTTCACGTACTCCTCGCCGCAGGCCACTCCTCTGTCTACTCGCCACTCGCTCTCAGCTCTGCCTTCGGATGAGTCCGTAGAGCCGAGTGGCCCGTACCCAGAGCTTGTTGACTGCCTCATGTACCTGATGACCTGCACTCGACCTGACCTGGCATACCCTCTTAGCATCTTGGCACGCTATGTTGCTCCTGGGAGACACCGACAAAGCACATGGCTGCAGCGAAGAGGGTGTTGCGCTACCTGTGCAACACGTCGGGCATGGGGCTCGTGCTTGAAGGACGGGCTCGAGTTGTCCTCACTGGTCACGCAGACGCTTCTTGGGTTGACGACTTGGCTACGCAGCGGTCGTCACAGGGTTACACCTTCAGCCTTGGTTCCGGCTCTGTTTCGTGGTGGTCTACCCGCTCGTCTTCTGTTCTCAGCTCCAGTTGTGAGGCTGAGATCTACGCTGGGGCCATGGCTGCACATGAGTTACGGTGGCTCACCTACCTGCTGACCGACTTGGGAGAGGCGCCTTGTTCTCCTCCAGTTCTGTACGTTGACAACAAGGCCATGCTGGCCTTGTGTCAGGAGCACAGATTGGAGCACAGAACGAAGCACATTGCTCTGCGCTACTTCCTTGCTCGAGAGTTGCAGCAGCGTGGTCAGGTTTGTCTTGCTTACGGTGGCCTCTCGGGCCAACACTGCAGATATCTTCACCAAGGCACTTCAGCCTTGTGATCATCAGCGTTTCTGTGCTATGCTAGGTCTTGTGCCTACCGGGCCTCACTTGCTTACCTCTTGACTTTGCTTGTACTATGATCTATATATACCTGCGCGTGCATGCTTACCTTTGTTAGGCTGCGATCACTGTCTTGCTTGTTCACTTTGATTAATAATCGTGCATGTGAACTGGCCTTGTGGCCTTGAACTTATGCTCAGAATGTGTGGTGACGTTGTGATCCACCCTGAGCTTGACCTTGCCTTGTTCTCTTGCTTGTCCCCCACTTTGCCTATGGGGGTGTGTCAGAACTATACTGTAGGCTGTAGTGGGGCACTCCTTATGGGGTACAGTAGTGTTAGGGTTTCCTACTTGTACTCCTTATGCTGCTGAATGAACTCATTTTCCTCGTTCTTATTCTCACAGTTGAGGAGTATCCTATTTGTAGAGCGTATCCTTCTTTAGTAAGTATGTCAGTGGCGCTGCTATCTTAGCGTACGGTGGCACGAACCTGTTGCAGTAGTTGGCGAAGCCTAGGAACTGCTGCGACTCCTTCACGTTCTCAGGAACATTCCATTTCTTGACGGCTTCGATCTTCCGTGGGTCTACATGTATGCCCTCCGCGCTCACCATGTGCCCGAGAAACTGCAACTTCTTTAGGGTGAAGTTGCTCTTTGACAGCTTCATGTAGAATTTGTTCTTGCGCAGGATCTCCAAGCCCTTCTGCAGATGCTCTACGTGCTCCGTCATGCTCTTGGAGTAGATGAGAATGTCGTCCAGTTACACTTCCATGCATTCATCAAGCAAGGGCCATAGGATGTGATTTACTTCCACCTAGAATGTTGCCGGTGCGTTGCAGAGACCGAACGGCATCACCAAGTTTTTGTTGGAGTCGTATCTGGTGCGAAACGCCATTTTGTGAATGCAATTGTCTGCCATCTTGATCTGCTAGTAACCCGACCGCAGGTCCAGCTTCGAAAGCATCGTTGCACTACTCTGTTGGTCTAGAAGATCGTCTATGTGCGGTATGGGGTATTTGTTCTTGACTGTCTATTTGTTCAGTGCCCGGTAGTCGATGCACATCCGTAAACTACCGTTTGGCTTTGGGGTGAAGAGAACCGGTGCGCCGTAGGGAGAGGTGGATGGGCGGATCAGTTTTCTATCCAGTAGGTATTCTATCTGCTTCTTCATGTCAGTTAGTTTGGTCGGACTAAGGTGGTATGGTGCACGAGAGACGGGTTTCGCACCTGGTTCCTCCACGATCTCGTGCTCGTCAGTTCGCGTTGGAGGCACTCCTGCAGGTAGGTCATCCAGCATGATGTCCTTGTATTCGATTCATACCACCTGTACACCTGCATGTAGCTCCGAGTTCGGCTTCTCCTCTACTACTTCCATCACCTGTGCTAAGTAACCCGTGTTACTCTTGTTCACTGTCCGTTCGAACCGTGCAAGTGTCGTTTCAGGAACATCCCCTGTATCCCTCCAGCTTCGCAGCTCCACACGTTTCCCATTGTTGTAGATGCACGCCTTCCTGTTGACCCAGTCTATCTCGGGGTTGAAACCGCTTCAAAAAATCACGCCCCAACATGAAATCTAATCCCTTGATGTTCGTGATCGGCAACATCGGCTTCCATCTCAACGTCCCTATTTGCAGTTGCAGTATAGACTCGCCATGGATGGGAAGCTTTGTACCGTCCACCATTCTTGCTGTAAACTGGGTCTCCTCCGAGGACTCTCCGATTTTCTCCAGCGTCCCGCGGTCGCACACCGAGTGGGATAGACCAGTGTCCACCAATGACTTGAGGCGTCGCCCTTAGTAGAGCACCTCGAGTAGTAGTGGATGTTGCTGCTCCGAATAGCCATAGATGGCCTCGCTTATAGGATCATAGGGCACAGTAAATGTATCATTCTTTGGTCCTGTGCTCGAAGCTGCCGACTCAAGATCAGTTTTCAACTGAGTAGGGTTAGAAGGATTTATCCGAGGCTGGTACAGCGTCTCCTTAGCCTGGAACCTTCCCCTAAGCCTTTGCATTTGTGTAGGCTTCACATGTGGGGAACGGTGGGGAGCCTTAACACCGTGCTGATGGGAGAGAATATCAACTCCTCGGAACGCTCAACCCTTATCAACGCTCCTGAGTGAGGTCCCCATTCTACCCGGCACCGGTATAATTTCTTACTCTCCCTTAGTAAAGGCTTGAAAACTACGAGAAGTAATATTCATAGTTTAAGTATCTTAATAGGATAACTCTAACGAATTCTTACTTATCGGGGTGTAAGGCTGGAGCTTCCCGGTCGATGCAGGGTCTTGTTTCGCGGAGTCTCCTTTTGTCTCGGCGATTTCCCCTGGTCCGTTTTCTGCTTCGGAGGTGCCGCACTATTCTTGCCCTTCAGCTCCGCATGTGCTTTCTCCGTTTTCCAACACGCCAAGATATGATGTCCTGTAGTGCCACAAAATTCACACATCTCATATTTTGCTAGCCGCTGCTTCGCATCGCCCTTCTTGTTCTCCATCGGGTCGGTATTCGTGGGTGGTGCCGATCGCCCCATGCCACTATTTGGCTGGCTGAGTCGTGTTCCGCAGTAGCTACTGTTCAACACGTCGAACTGTTCGATCAGTGCTGCCCGAAATTGCGCTCACGTCCCTTCGCCTTGGACGTTTTGTTGATCCACTCTAGAGCCGGGCCTCGTAACAGTGTTACTGCGAGCCGTATGCGCATTGCGTCTTGGGGTGGGGGTCGTGCATGCAATGGCTTCGAAGTAGATTTCGAGTCTAGCTACGAGTCGACGAACATTGCTTCCTTTAACTTTAGGATCGAACGCCTCTGGTTCCCTTGGCATCGCTGCTTCAATGTTAACATTACCTGCTGCCGTTGTCGTATGTACAATTGTCGGTGCCGCCGCCGCTGCTGCTCTGGTGGCTGCCGATTGGTTCGCAATGAGTTTTTCGAGTTGTAGGAGCGCCGCATGTATCTGCTCCTTCTCGGCGCATAACTCCGCAATTTTCAGTAAAAAAATATCTCTGTTTCCCTTCATTTGGAGATTCAAATGAAGTTTTGCAACGAAATAAATTCTAGGCGCTAGTCGACTTACTGCAAATCGAATCGACTGTAGAAATAATGAGCGCTGATTCTGTACGTCGCGTGATTCTCCCTTAGTCAAAATTCGCGTCCGATCTCGCTCCAAATTCCAACTTTTTTTTGTGAAATTCTCTGGGCGGTTGAGATTTGAATCGATTTAACGGTCGAAATTCCAACTTTTTTGCCAATAATCCTAAGGGGTGTTCAAAAACCGGTTCGAGGGGGACTTAAAAAAATTGCGTGGAACTGGTTTGCATACCCGTATCGGCGCTTCGTCGTCGCCCCCGTGGTTTTTAGCGGCTGAAGACTTCGCGTGTAAACGAGCTTTAAGTACCAGGTGTGAGGATCGAAGGAAATAGTTAAGAGATTATAATATGATCACCTGGGTACAACGTCGTGCTATATATATGCATGACACAAGACCAGTAACCCCTGTGTTACTAGAAGGTTCTGCGGGTTGCGAAGCGTCCCGAATTCGGTAGAAGACAATTCAGTGGCAACTGAATTCGGTGCACTCAACCTAGTTCGGTGCCTATAATTATAATGAATGTAGTAAAAAAAACGAACGTAGGAAATCAAGCGAAAGCATGCAAGATGAAATAAAGCTAAGCTAGATAATGCGTAATAGAGTGGAATCAAGCAAGTAAAGCCCAGCAAAGCTGTTGTACTCTCACACCAGTACTCTCTTAAACCATGTTATATTTGGAGGGAGAGGGGGTGGTATGGGAAAGGAGAACATGCTACAAGACCTTCACCCCCACCCCGAAGATAACCACTCTTCGGGTGTTGCTGCTTGTTGCAGCACAACGAGACTACGAGCTGAGCACTTGACTATACAACTACAAATCTCCAGGATAGTCTGCACGAGCAGATCTGACTGCGCCGTTCACCTGATTTTACTGGGTCCTTCCTTCTTGGCACCCACTGGAGCCTTCGGCGACCCATCTACCGTCTGCGTCAGGCTCCTCGCGAGTGGCATGATATATTACGTATAAAACGGGTTTAGCAGGGTACTGTCTTGTAAAAAGAGGCCTTACCCTGCTTTGCAGATTCGTCGACCTTGTCCTTCCCTGCAGGGAGAAAACAATGTGAAGAATGGTGTTAATAGGCACGGTTTAGCACAGAGTATGACGGCCACGCCATGTGTATGGGCCACAGTGCTTACCTCGCTGCTGTCCCTTCGGTTTAGCTTCCTGCGCCTTCTCGTTGCCACCTTTCTGCGGGGTGCTTTGGCGGCCGCTGCGACATTTACCGGCAGGTTCTTTCTTGGCCAGACCCACAGGAACCCCTTTGGCGCGGCCACCCTTTCCTTCTCCATCCCCTTTTGCTCCCTGGCTCCCTTGCTTTTTACCACCCCCTTCAGTTTTGACCTTCACTTTACGTGCCTTCGATTTGTCCGCTGCTTCGTCACGCGGTACGTCAACTGCCCCGCGTTTTCTGGATTGACGAGTCCGGCCCCCCACCTTCCCTGTACCACTCCCCCTTCTGCCTCGCGTGCCCCGTCCTTTCACTGCCGCCACATCCTCCTCCTCTTCCTCTTCCGCCCCTTCCTCCTCCTCCTCCTCCTCCTCCTCCTCCTCCTCCTCCTCCTCCTCCTCCTCCTCCTTCTCCTCCTCCTCCTCCTCCTCATCCTCCTCCTCCTCCTCCTCATCCTCATCCTCATCCTCCTCCTCCTCCTCCTCCTCCTCCTCCTCCTCCTCCTCCTCCTCCTCCTCCTCCTCCTCCTCCTCCTCCTCCTCCTTATCCTCCTCCTCCTCATCCTCCTCCTCCTCCTCCTCCTCCTCCTCCTCCTCCTCCTCCTCCTCCTCCTCCTCTTCCTCCTCCTCCTCATCCTCATCGTCCCCCTCCTCGTTGCCGTCCCCCTCCTCGCCGTCGTCCTCCTCCTCCTCCTCATCCACATCGCCCCCCTCCTCGTCCTCCTCCTCCTCTTTGTCCTCCTCATCTTTTTCCTCCTCCTCCGCATCCTCCTCATCCTCCTCTTCCTCCTCATCCTCCTCATCAGCCTCCTCCTCCTCATCCCCCTCATCCCCCTCATCCTCCTCCTCCGCTCCATCCGGGTCTTCTTCGCCGTGTTTCGGCCTCTTCCCCCTCTCTGCTTGATTGCCCCTCCTTCCGCCAGATGGTTTCCTTGCTACGAGTCGACCCTTCTGGCGCAATGCATGACCCGTCGCCTTGCCACTTGCTTTCCTGGCGCCTCGCAATGTCCCAACTTCCGCACCACTAGCGTCGTCAGCACTACCTGTCGTCTACCGCCTCTTCGCCCGCGTAGTGATGTCCCCGACCACGGCGGTGTCATACTCTTCCTCCCCATCACTCTTCCTCTGCCTATGCCTCCCACGTCCACCAGAAAGAGGAGAGCCGCCGACGTCGGCGATGCCGTGTTTAGGCTCCTCCATAAAATCGTGCTCCCAAGCCTTGTCCTTATCTATCACAGCAGCAAAAACCTCGACCACGATCGGCTGGAGCAGCGTCAGAGGGTGATGTGATGCCTCCGCTTCGGACTCCTGGGTTGCAGCATGCTCGTCGCGGGGAGCGTCGCCGTGGTTTCCCCCTCTCTCTCCACCGACAGGACTGCGAGACTCACGCTCCCTCACCCAGGATCTTCTTTGCCGCCGATAGCAGCAGAGGAGGCAGAGATGGCATCTTATAGGTCCACAGGCACCTATGTTGATGCTGTCCCCCCAGCTGGGGCGAACGTCGTTGGAGGGATGTGGCTCTACAAGGTGAAGCGGCCGCCTGGATCACCACCAGTATTGAAGGCGCGCTATGTGGCGAGAGGCTTCAGTCAGCAAGAGGGGGTAGACTTCTTCAAAACCGGTCTACGGTCTGCGCCATGCTCCCCGTGAGTGGCACGACACACTTTGCACGACTTGTGCAGCGCTTGACTTCTTTCCGTCGTCTGTTGACCCGTCGTTGTTCGTCCACCGCGACTCGACCCCGTTCTTTGTTCTGGTCTACGTTGATGACATGGTCTTCGCCACTCCCGACCGACGCGCACTAGCCTTCGTGAAGGAGGAACTGCAGAGGAGACACACTTGCCATGACCTTCGTGAGCTGCAGCGCTACCTTGGCCTGCAGATCACCAGGGACAGGGCAGCTCGCATCATTACGCTGACGCAGTTGCATTATGTCGAGCAGATCCTCACGCGGTTTTGCTTTCCGTTCTCCAAGGTAAAGCTCACCCCTCTTGTTATAGATCATGGGCTCATGGCTCCACCTTGAGACAAGCCATTTGAGTTCAGTGGTCCATATCCTGTGCTGGTTGGTTGTCTCATGTACCTGATGACTTGTACTCGCCCAGACCTTGCTTACCCTCTTAGCGTCCTTGCGCGCTTTGTTGCGCCTGGGAGACACCGACCTTCCCACTGGTACGCGGAAAAGAGGGTGGCGAAGTATGTGGCGGGTGCATCAGGCATGGGACTTGTCCTTGGAGAGAAGCAGCCAGTTACACTTACAGGTTACTCGGACTCGTCATGGGCCGTTGACGCAGAGTTGCTGCGGTCTACACAGGGTTACTGCTTTAGCCTCGGGACAGGTGCAGTTTCGTGGAGGTCGACTCGGGCGTCGTCCAGCTCCTGTTCGGGTGTACGCTGCGGCCATGGCCGCTCAGGAGCTTCGCTGGCTGTCTTTCCTCCTCACCGAACTTGGTGAGCGGCCTCGCTCTCCCCCAGTCTTGTTCGCCGACAACAGGTCTGCCATCCTGTTGTGCGAGGAGCCCCGACTGGTTGGGAAGGCGAAGCACATCCAGCTTCGTTACTTCCCTTTGCGTGAGTTGCAGCAGCGTGGCCAGGCCCGTGTGGTACGCGTGGACTATGAGGCCAACACTGCAGATATTTTCACCAAGGCGTTGCCGCCTTGTGATCACCAGCGTTTCTCCACCCAGCTGGGGCTTGTGTCTACATGCCCTCACTTGCTTGCGTAGACATGCTTTGCATTGTACTCTTGCATCTCTCTATATTTGCTATATATCATTGCATATGGACAGGCCTTGTGGCTCCTTGCTTGTTCTTGGACTGTGTGGTGATCTTGAGATACACCCCAAGATTTGTTGCATTCTTGTAAACTAGTCTTGTGACACTGTTGCTTGTTCTTGCTGACTGGTCCTGTGACCCTTGCTATGTGTTGCTTTTCTCAGGACTACCGTCACCTAGACTATGCGGGTGTGTCAAGCTATATTTGTTAGAGCTTCTATTTGTTAGTCTAGGTGTACTTTCTCTTCCCTAGGATTAGGGTTAGGTTGCCTTTATCTTGCTTGTTTGTTCTTTATCAATCATTATTCAGTTACCTCGTTGACACTACGTTTGCGGCTCTTGGGTTTGCTCCTTTGACCCGTCGCTATTTCTGCGCACCGACTCTTCTTTGTCGCCGTTCTACATCCTTGTGTACATCAACGACTTGGTCCTTACTACTGCTGACAGTGAGGCACTGGCCCTTGTGAAGGCATAGCTGTAGCAGAGACACACCTGCACTGACCTAGGTGAGCTGCACAGCTTTCTTTGCTTGCAGATCACCCGGGACAAAGCGTGGCGCACCATCACTCTGACTCAGTTACACATGGTGCACTAGGTCCTTCAGCGCTTCGGCTTCCGGTTCCCCTCGCCACAGTCCACTCCTCTGCCTACACGCCACTCGCTCTCAGCTCCACCTTCGGACGAGTCTGTAGAGCTGAGTGGTCAGTATCCAGCTTGTGGGCTGCCTCATGTGCCTGATGACCTGCACTCGACCATACCCCGCGTACCCTCTTAGCATCCTGGCGCACTACGTTGCGCCTGGGAGACACCGACTAGAGCACTGGTGTGTGCTGCGTTACTTGTGCAGTACATCGGGCATGGGGCTCGTGCTTGGAGGACGGGGTTCAGTTGTACTCACTGGACACTTACACGCTTCTTGGGCAGACGACCAGGCGACTCAGTAGTCATCACAGGGTTACACTTTCACACGGCTCTAGTTCAATTTCCTAGAGGTCTATCTGCTCTTCTTCTGTTCTCAGCTCCAATTGTGAGGTTGAGATCTACGCGGAGGCCATGGCTGCACAGGAGTTACGCTGGCTGACCTACCTGCTAACCGACTTGAGTGAGCGGCCTCGTTCTCCTCCAGTCTTGTACGTCGACAGCTTGGCGATTGCCTTGTGTCGGGACCACAGAACGAAGCATATCGCTCTGCGTTACTTCCTCGCACGAGAGTTGCAGCAGTCTGGTCAGCTTTGCCTTGCTTACGTGGCCTCACGGGCCAGCACTCCTGATGTTTTCACCAAGGCACTTGTGTCTAGTGATCATCAACGTTTCTGCACTGCCTCACTTGCTTACTGCTTGACTTTGCCTTGTACTGTGATCTATGTATCCATACATGCATGCTTACTCTTGCTAGGTTGTGATCACTGTATTGTTTGTGCTTTTATAACTCTGCATGTGAACTGCCCTTGTGGTCGCTTGCTTGTGCTCAGACTGTGTGGTGATCTTGAGATCCACCCTGTCCTTTGCTTTGTTTCTTCTCTTGACTGGTCTTGTGACCATTGCTTGCTCTGGCTATCCCCTATTTCGCCCATGGGGGTGTGTCAAAACAAATCCGTTTAGATTTATCTAGGTTGTATTGGCGCTAGCTTTAGGGGGTACAGAAATTATCTCGACACACTCCTTGTACCCCCTCCTTTCACCTAGTCCACACTTCTCTCCTACTATTATCAATAGCATTTGCCTTATTGTGGGCTTCAATTTGGTATTGTTAAAAGTGAATTTTATTTTTGACATACGGTATTACAGGCGCATGCGCTTATAAGATTGACTCAATTAGAAGCGCATGTCAAGAATGGAATGATGATTTCACTAAGGTTGGTTGGGGTACATAAACCTAACCCTAACTGTTGTACCCCATATGACACACATCACTAAGACTATAACATCTGACATATCCCCATAGCCTATATAAGGGGTGTCAAGCAAAACCAACAACGTACGGTCATAAGACCAGTCACAAAGCAACAAAGCTCAGGGCGGATCACAATGTCACCACACACTCTGAGCACAAGCAAAAGAGCCACAAGGCCAGTTCAAGAGTTTAGAGAGGCATATATAACGCGTACAAACAAAGCAAGCAGAGAACTCAAGACTACGCAAGGCGAGAACCTGTGTCAACAAGACCTAACTGCACACAACACCGCTGATGGTCACAAGGCGAAAGGGCCTTGGTGAAAATGTCTGCAGTATTGGCCTCGGACTCCACAAAGTCGAAGCGAGCCTGTTCACGCCTCTGCAACTCTCACAAAAGAAAGTACCTGACATTGATGTGCTTCACTCTGCTCTCCAGTTGCGGCTCTCGACAGAGGAGAATCGACGCCTTGTAATCAGTGAACAAGGTCGGTGTAGAGCTCAGCTGCTCACCAAGGTCGGTAAGCAATAAAGTCAACCCACGCAGCTCCTGTGCAGCCATGGCTCCAGCGTACATCTCAGCCTCGGTCGAGACCGAGGAGGAACGCGTAGGCCTCCACACAACAGCTCTAGAGCCCAGGCTGAAGAAGTACCCTTGAGTAGACCTATGAGTCTCGGCGTCGTCAGCGTAAGAAGAGTCACAGCGTCCAGAAAGTACGACAGACTGTCTCCCTCCAAGAACCAGCCCCACGCCAGATGTCATCGCTAGGTACTTCGCCAGTGCTACAGAGATCAGTGCAGGAAGCGGAGTAAGCGTCGTGTGGTCGCGGAAGAAATAGTGCGAAGCTCCGGAGTCCAGAGTGAAAGACAGCGAAGTGTCCTCCGGAGCAGCTCCTACATTAGTGTCTACACAAGTACCTACGCTAGCAACAGCCACCTCAGCAACACTAGCACCTAAGCTAACAACACTCGAGTAAATAGAGTCAGAAGCACTAGAGTCAACAATAGCATACATAGCATGAGGCGTTCCTAAGAGATCAAGCAACTGAGAAGCTGACATGCCCCATAGAGCGGGGCCGTACGTCTGAACAAGGGGAAGCTAGTCAGGGGCAGGGCCGCCAACGTCGTAGGCTGCACGAAGTGTGTCAGTGAGCTGAGCAAAGCACTGACCCAGTGGGTGGGTGCGGCCACAGGGGAGGCCTCGGCGAGCACCTGTCTGAACGAGATAGGTGCAGGGAGGGTGGACGGCACCATGCGACGGCTGACGGCACTACGCACGGCTGACGCGGTCCTGACCCCTGCCCCAGAGTCTCCTGCTGCCGCTGCTGTGGCTGCTGCGAGAGGAGTGGTTGCTGCTGCTGCTGCCGCTGAGTCAGGTACCAAGCCGCCACTCCATCACCTGCAGCCGGTGGACCAGCAGGTGCCTGACAAACTCGAGCGTCACCTCCACCAGCTGCAGCAAGGTAGTCACTAGCCGCTGCATAAGTGGCTCCTCCAACCTCTGTACTCCTGCCACCACCGCTTGCCACGTCACCTCCGCCGCCTCCGCCCGCACCCTGACCGCCCCTCCTGCCACTCCTACCCCTAGACCGCAAAGAAGTCGTAACAGCAGCTGTGGTAACGTCAGTAGCGGCAGTGGCGAGGGAGGCAGTAAAGGTGGGCAGCTGAGGGACAGTGCACCCATGAAACAGTGGAGGGGGTACAGCACCACAGGCGGAGGCTACCGATCGGAGGTTGCTCCTGACGTCCTTGAGGGCAGACTCAAGGACCTCGATAGTGAGCTCGCTAGGGTGCTTCAGAAGAAGCGCGTCACGAACCGAGGCAAGGCGGTCAGGGAGACTAGTGGCGATGAAATAGATAGTAATCGCCATAAGGGGAGGGAGCAGTACAAGCTGTGCGTCAGTGCAGGCAGCGCGGTAGCTAGAATCAAGCGAGCGCAAGTGAGCGATCAAGTCAGCAGAGTGCTCAAACGAGGCGAGGTCAGGAAACAGGAATGGGGAGGAACAGGCGACCAAAAGAGACAGTGGTTGGAGTAGCTTAGCGGGCCTTGATCACAGTCAGGAACTCACTAACCGTGCGAACTTGAGTGAAGTGGGCCTCCTCAGACTTAGGGAGGAGGATGCTGAGGGTGATGCAGGCCGCAGCGTCACGCGACTTCCACGTTGTCAGCACGCTGGCGGGCATAATGGTCTCTGTCTGCACTGCTTGGGTCAGCGCCTAAGGGTGCAGGGTCGTCGGGCTTAGGAAGGTTGCCGGAAGCGTGCGCCCACAGAGACTCATCTGCCTAAACCTGACTCTCAAAAAGGCGGCGCACACGCAGGAGCCAGACCGAGAACTCGAGCGGCCTACCCTCGGCATCAAAGCGCAGGACCCTAGGGGTCACCATAGCGGAAGCAAAGAGGTGGGAAGTGCTGCTGCCGAAACCCTAAACACTTAGAGCGGCTTTGTAGGACTTGACTGGCAGAGTTGGAGGCGTAGGGCGCTAAGGGACGGAGGGTAGGGCGCGACACGGCGGGACTAGAAGGGCGCGGCACTACGGGCAGGGGTAGCGCGACGTGACGGGACGGGCAGCGCGACGCGACTGGACAAGACGGGCAGGCACGACGTGGTGAGACGGAACGGGCAGCGCGACGCGGCGGGGCGGGACGGGACGGGACGGACGGCGCGACGCGGCGTGACGGACAGTCACGGCGCATGCGACGAGACGGGACGGACGCGAGGCGACGGGACCGCAGGGGCGATACGACGGGACAGCAGGGGCGACGGGACAGCAGGGGCAACGCGACGAGATGGGACAGCAGGGGCGACGCGACGGCAGGCGTAGCAAGCGCTAGGGCACGAGAGAGACGAGCGTGATAGGCGCTAGGGGACAATACGGGCGTAACGGGCACTAGGGTACGGAACAGGCTCGGGCGCTACGGACGTGAACAAGAGGAACGAGATCCCACAAGATCCTAACCTAGGTGATACCATGTCAAGAACGGAATGATTTCACTAAGGTTGGTTGGAGTACATAAACCTAACCCTAACTGTTAGAAACCTAGCTTAGGCTAAGAAGCCATGGCTAGGGTTTAGGGTGTTGAAGGTAACGAGAGAGATGATTTGGCCAAAGAGAAGGGGTTGACTAAGAAAGATGAGTACAAGATATAGCAAGGAGAAGCATGGTGCACCACCTACAGCAAATGGGATGTGCTACACTCTACACTGCAGACAATTATGAAGAACATATATAAATATATTTCAACACTAACTGTTGTACCCCATATGACACACATCACTAAGACCATAACATCTTACAGCGCATCCCCAAAAAAGAAATTGTTTTATTAAAAAGCGCACCTATGCTTATATCCGGGGTATTACGCAAGTCAATGTATTTGTAGAGGACGGGTAGCGCGAACCGACAAGGCCTGAAGTTGCGACACAAAAGGCTTCACCTTCACTATACACAAAATTGAAAAACACTTGGGGCATCAAAATGGTAAAGTTTGTGAGTGGATATGTATGACGCTTCATACAAAATTGGCTGCGATTGCTGATCCTGAACAGTTTGCTCCATGCCAAAGCCTGATAATGAATTGGTTGTTGGGGGAAACGATGCATCTCGAGTGCCTAAGGCCAGCAGTTATTATCAGCATGTCAGAAAGAAAAATAGCATTTAGGTAAAACCCAACTGTACAGAGCAGTTGTTGTGTGTAGGATGCATCATCCACAGTTGAAGGCGCAGTGGTCATCCTCCTCGTACTCCTCGTCCATCGCCTCCTCGTCATCCTGCTCCAGCTCCCTCGCCACCTCCAGCAGTGTGCGGCGGTAGTTCATCATGAGGTGGTCCTGAATCATTGATCCAGTCAGCTTGATGCTCGAGTACACATGACGAGGCGTCTCAAACATCCCCGCCTTCCACTTTCCCCGCTTCCTCCCCTGCTGACGCCCTGCCTTGAGAGGCCCTCCCCCAGTGCCACCACTCCCCCCTGCACCACCCACAGCGCTGCCAGCACCAGTACTGCCTTCATGGACCGAGTCTGACATGACATGCCCATCGCCATCCCTGCTGCCGTGCTGCTCCTCCCCCTCTCGCTCCTCCCCCGCACCCGCGCTGACCTCGCGGTGCTCGTCGGGGTCCTCGTTGCGCAGCAGGTGCACCATGCGGCCACAGGGGAACCACCGCCGTGGGTCTGTGCGCATGGCCTCGGGCACGTCACCGCTGCTGTCCACGGCGCCTGCCACCAGCGGCTCCAGCACGTCCCTCTCCTCGCCCGCGCCCGCCACCTGGCTCGCCACCTCCTCCTCCTCTCTCAGGATGTCCTGCACCACTGCCGCTGACACCGCCGCCTCCTCCTCGCTCTTGGACGCGCGGGTGCTCGCCTCCAGCTGCTCCTGCAGCTGCTGCTCCATCACCGCCCATGACAGCCCCCCGCTGTGCCCCCGCCAGCTGTCCCCTGAAAAGCTCGCCTCGCCGTCGCGCCCCACTGTGTCCCTGAAGCTGTCGTCGCGGTCGTCGTCGCCCTCAGCGCGGTCGGCGTCTCCCCCGTCGTCCATGGCCTTGAGCAGCGCTGCCAGCCCCTCCACATCGTCGCTGTGCTGCCGTCGCAACTCCTCCTCCCTCTCCTCGCCCACCAGCTCTGCCTCTTCCCGCTCCTCTTCCTCCCCCTCCTCCTCGTCCTCCTCCTGTGCATCCTCCTCTTCCTCCTCATCATCATCATCGCTCTCCACGTCCTCAATCTCATCGTCGTCCACCCCCTCCTCCTCCTCATCTTCTTCCTCCTCCCCCCCACCATCCTGTACTGCATCACTCACCTTCACCCACATCTCTGAAACCCCCAGCAAACCAACCTCTTCCACATGCCCATCACTCTTCCCCATGCCCTCCCCATCGCGCCCACCAGCACTGCCCCCATCGCGCCCTCTGCCCGCGCCCCTCTCCACCATCTTCTGTGGCTCAGCGGCCACCAGCACCACCTCACCATCCGCTGTGCCCTGCGCGCACACCTCTCCCACCCCATTACCGCCGGCCCGCATGTCCTGTGTGTGGGCGAGCGTGTGGGCCAGCCTGCCCTCGGAGCCGTGGCGTGACTCCACGCCTCTCTTGGCGTCGCCCACCACAATGGCCTCCGCCACGTCCTGCCGCCACCACCGTGGGCCCTCCACCACACTGCCTGTGTGCGCACCGCCTGCTGCTGCTGCGGCTGCGAGCCCCCCTGGGAGAATGGAGGGGCGGGTGCGGGCGCGGCTGCAGAAGCCAGGCGGCAGCAGCGAGGTGCGCAGGGCCCAGGGGGGGCGAGGGGGGGTGGTGGACGCCATGGGGGCGCGCAGGGCAGCAGGGTGGCAGCAGACGCGCGCCACTGATGCCACGGCTGCTGCAGGTGCTGTCGCAAGAAAGTGGAGAGGATGGGGGCAGGAGGTGGGTGCGCAGACGGAACAGCGATGGGGAGGTGCTGCAGCAGTCGTGGGGAAGAGGGATGGTCTTAGCGCTCCACCACATGCGAGTCTACCCATGCAAGTCGCATGCAGCATGGCCACCGTGCAACATGCCGACCTTGCACCCCCTTCCACTCGCCCCATGTGCCTCTGCCCACACAACGTGCACGCACATGCCGACGCGAGAAAGGGCGAGAGAAGCCAGGAGGAGGAGGAGGAAGGGGTAGGGAAGAGCGGGGAGGAGAATGGGAAGGAGCAGCAGGTGGGGCGGCGGCAGGTGCAGGAGGGGCAGAGGGCGAGATGGCGGCGGATGAGGGCGGCGGAGCGCAGAGCAGAGCGCAGCAGCTTCACCTTGCGCAGCTGCTCCCGCAGCTCACTCGCCCACGCCGACCGCCGCACCTGCACGTGAGGGGGCGACGAGGAAAAGCAGACAGTGGATGGGAGGTGTGGCACGACATCCCGAGCGACACGTGCGGTGCCAGTGTGGAATGCCAAGGGTGTTGGCTGTGGATCGTGCGATGAGCAGAACGAGAAAGGAAGTTTTGAGGAGAAGGAGAGGCATTGAGCAAGAGCAAGTGAACGGTGTTTTGGAAAGAGGGCAGGAAGATGCAGACGAGACAAGCAAGCACAGCTGCACCCTGCAGGTGCAAGCGGGCAAAGCAAGCGACACTGAAAACCTTGTGACCGTGTGTTTTGCAGCGGTGCTGGTACACGTGCATGGAGCCCACAGCATGGCACGGCCTTACCTCTTGCCTGAGGTCGTCAAGCGAGCTGGAGCAGAGGGTGGGGATGAAGTCAGTGCCGTTGACGATGGACGTCACACAGCACTCGCCCGACTGCGCCAGCTCCCATGTCATGGCCGCCGCTGCATGCCACCGCGCTCAAACACAGTGGGCAAGGGGAGTGGCATGTGGAGGTAAGGGCCTACGTTGGAGTTAGCAAAATGTTCCAGATCACACATTCCGCTTAAGGGACACTGTGTGTGTGTTCTTTTGTTCCGTTCAACCCCAACCCAATTATTCCACTCCACACATTTCTGTCACTAACCTACCCCTAGCCCAGCAGCGTGTTTCTCACCTTGGTTTCTCCTGTCAGAATTTTCCTGTCTAAGCTTGTTTGTTCTTACTACTCATAGACATGTTTGACCAAATTCCAGGCTTGTTTTTGCACTGCCCCGGTTTTGTTGTACCTTCCTGCCCAAGCGCATTCCAAAAACGCAGCTATTGTACTGTGTAAGGATGCTGGCTCATGAGAAGTGTGGAAGGACCGGAGGGATGAACGTTGCAGGTGGTGGTGGGGAAGCAAGACACGGATTTGAGAGTTGGCACAACACTAAAGCAGGCGACCCCAACGGGGTGGTGGGCTGACCAGGGCCGAAGGCGACGCAGGTAGTGGAGGCAAGCCCCTCCTTCTCCCTGAGAATGAACGTCAGCAGCGACGCCGTGGCCCCACCCAGCGAGTGCCCTATCACCTGCCCGCCATGGCCGTCATGCCGTCATGCGCACACACAGATGCGGGGCACGCATGCGGTGCAGTGGGAGAGGGCAGGTGAGGCACCATGGCAGAGAGTGTGGCAGGGACACACATGCTTGGGGATGATGAGAGCATGAGCGCAGTGGAAGAATGGGTGGCAGTGGTGGTGCGTTGCGATGTGAGCCTGGCAGCGGATGAATGAACAGTGCACATGGACACACATGGCAGCCACACTGCCATGCCACACCCCTTCACATGAGATACGATGCACCTTCATGTAACCCACCTTCCCAACACATCAAACCCACCTTCACAGCACATGAAGCCCACCTTGACATGGAAGCCTGGGTGGCGGGCGAGGGCCTGTCGGAGTGTGGGCAGGCAGCGCGCAGCAATGGCTCGGGCAGCGGCAACCATGCCGCAGTGCGCGTAGCCGAGCACGATGTGGCGCACTCCCCCGTCCATCATGATGGTGTGGTGGAACGGCACGACGGCGCCCGTGGCGCACGTGAGCTTGTCCTTGGTGGAGTGCGTGCCCCGCACCACCACCAGCACCGTGCGCCGCCTCCCATCCACTATCACCGCAAACGCCGGCTTCAGCAGCTGCATGCGCACACCCAGCGACAGGTAGGTAGGTAGGGAGGGAGGGAGGGAGGGAGGGAGGGAGGGAGGGAGGGAGGGAGGGAGGGAGGGAGGGAGGGAGGGAGGGAGGGAGGGAGGGAGGGAGGGAGGGAGGGAGGGAAGGAGGGAAGGAGGGAAGGAGGGAGGGAGGGAGGGAGGGAGGGGGGGAGGGAGGGAGGGGGGGAGGGAGGGAGGGAGGGAGGGAGGGAGGGAGGGAGGGAGGGAGGGAGGGAGGGAGGGAGGGAGGGAGGGAGGGAGGGAGCGAGGGAGGGAGGGAGGGAGGGAGGGAGGGAGGGAGGGAGGGGGGGAGGGAGGGAGGGAGGGAGGGGGGGAGGGAGGGGGGGGAGGGAGGGAGGGAGGGAGGGGGGGAGGGAGGGAGGGAGGGAGGGAGCCCAATATCTGAATGCGGATTCTGGTGGGGAAGAGTGCAGGAGGAGTGGCAATAGGGAGAAGGAATGAGGAGTGGAAAGATACACCATCTGACCTGAGCGCACACACAACCATCCTCCCCCATCCCCATCCATCCCCATCTCTGCAAGAGTGAGTCCACGGAGCGGGTGCAGGTAGCGAACTGGGTGAGCAAATTGGGGGGGCCGAGTTGGGGGGGCGAGTTGGGGGGGGCGAGTTGGGGGAGCGAGTTGGGGGAGCGAGTTGGGGGAGCGAGTTGAGGAGTGAGTTAGGGGAGCAGGTTGGGGGAGCGGGTTGGGGGAGTGGGTTGAGGGAGCAGGTTGGGGGAGTGGGTTGGGGGAGTGGGTTGCGGGAGCGGGCAGGGCTCTGACCCCGGCTTTGGGCTCGTAGAGGAGGACGTCGGAGGCCGAGAGGCGCGAGTCCTCGAGGAAGAGGCGGTAGGGCTTGCGCGAGAAGGAGTAGCACAGCGCCACGTACTCCGCCACCATCTCCACCTCCCTCGCCCGCCACGCGCCCCGCAGCCGCGCCACCGCCTCGCGCGCGTACATGCGCGACACGTCCGCGCGCTGGGGCCGGGACAGGGGGCGGGGGGAAGAACGGAGAGGGCGATGGTAGCACAGAAGACGAGGGCGCGGGGTTATGGAGGTGGGACGATAAGGCAAAGGCAAGGGCACGAGCGCGTGGTTCTTCGTGCCTCTCTCCCCCATCACTTCCTTTCCCGTGCCAGCCCCTTTTTACCCTCTCTCTAGGCCTGTCTCTCTTCCTCTCCGCGTTCCTCCTTCCCCCCACGTCCCTCCCTATTCTTCCCCGCGCCACCCGTCGCCCCGAGGCGCGCACCTTGCGGCGGCGCAGCAGGAACGCGACGCCGAAGAGCAGGTCCGTGAGCGGCCACTTGCCCAGGGTCTCCACGAACAGGAACCGCACGGCCGCCGCCAGCATCGCAGCCGTCTCCGCCAGGGTGGCGGGCGGCCGGTCCGGCCCGCGGAGGCCCACCGACCGCCGCCGTTTCCGCCATCCCTCCCGGCGGCCTCCGCTTCCCCCACCGCTGCCGTGGACGCGGTCGCTGTCGGATCCCCCCGACTCCGAGCCGTCCTTTCTGCGGCGCAAGCGCGGGAAGAGCGGTGACTCGGCGAAACCCGTGTAATAGACAAACGCCGCCGCCCCCGCCGCTGCCGCCACTGCTCCGACGACGGCCATGCGTGAATTCGACGATGCGTGCTTCTAACTATCGTAACTACCGATTTCGGAGAAGGGAATTGACTGGTACTTCATGCCTCGAGGAGAGCAAGGAGACGCAGGGTTACGTTGAGTATGCAGTTCTTGCCCCATAATAACAGCAATGGATGCAGGCTGTACTGGAGGTCGTCACGATCTTGCATACGATACAACCAAGGTTGAGTGCTTGGATGCTGGATGCCTGGAGTCTCCCGAATTCAGAAAACGGTAGGTTGGGGAGACGGGCAAGTGGCGGTACACAGATGATAGTGGCAGCTGTGTGAGGAAGAGGTTCGTTCGGAAGTCGCGTTCCGCTGGGCACTCCCGACCCCCAACGTCAGAATTCGAAGCACTTGGGCCCAGTTCGGCAGGCATTATGGCCATTATGGCCATTTTGATATTTTTAACGGGCCCCCAAAAAATGGCCCCTCGAAACAGCTGCGAAGTCAGACTGTAGCTGCAGTTTAACTTCGGAAGAATGGGCCCGACTGTTCGGTTGGCATTAAATGGGCCTGGATTAACGGCATCAACCGAAAATGACACTTCGCAGAAGCTCGCATGCAGCTGCGCTGATGGAGCTCAGAATCACTGTACTGGCAGCACGGGCAGCCATGCAAACCAGTGGTGGACGTCGAAAAAATTCGGGCAAGAGAATCTGTGCGTTCGATGTGTTAGTGAAGGTGTGTTGGTGATGTACGATTTCCCAGCGGGCAAAATGAGGGGCATGAAAGACCGGGATTTGTTTTTGTCAGGGCAATGTGTGATTGCCCCGAATCACTGTTCCCCGTGTGGGGGGGGGTCTCGAGGCAGTATGGTGCGGCGTATCAGAAAATGGACCATTTGCCTGGGAAATAGGGTTCGAGGAAGATTCCTCTGGTAGAAAATGCCAGCGTCGAAGGGGGTGTTCGGCTGGCATTCCATTATTGTCTGGTTCGGCGATGATCCGCTTATATCGAGCCTAGATAACCTTTCACGCGCTTATCAAAGAAGGTTCCAGGGTGGTCGGTTTACTGTAGCCTAACCGGGGAAACCGTTTTTTTAATGCCTGCCGAACTGGGCCTTGGGAACATCTCACCTTGACGGTTGAATGAAAGGACACAGCCGCGCGGAAGTGGAATGAATGTGTAACAGCCGTAGTGATTTAATATAAAATATAATGAGGGCCTACCTAGGTGGAGACCTCATGATTTAAGTTGAACACAGGGATGGATGCCCCAATTCCAAAAATCACGCGATGTGTCATTGGCTGGTGAGGCCTCCGGGCCGAGCCTGGTTTTCCAAAAGTTGGGGTTGCACGCAATGTTATCTAGCGTATATGTAAAGAATGGAGATTGATGTCGACGTACACATACGCATTTGTCATGTGTACTTTGTAGGCTAATGTACCAGTGCAATTGAGTGAGTGAACGAAGATTGCACTATCGAAGCAAAAAGTATATTGGGAGAAGGAATGAGCAAATGTTACCGTATCACCCCGGATATAAGCGCAGGCCTATGTTAAGCGCATGCGCTTATATCTGGAGCAATGCGCTTATGGCCGATCCTCAATTATAAGCGCACCCCCTGTAAAACCTTGACTTATTATAAGCGCATCAATAATTCTACTATTAAATCCTAATTAATACAGTAACGATTTCCCTTTTTGCAGCGAGTCCAGATCCGTTCCTACTTGTTTGACTCGCTCGAGGGCGAGCGATTCGCAGGAGAAGCGAAACGGCGTGAAGCTGACTGACTGACAGCACATCGTTGGGAGGGGGGGGAGGGAAGATGGGCGCTAGAAACGACTTTCCTGTGCGTTGTGCGAGCGAAAAAGGGGCAGGCGGGGGGGCTCGGGAACGACTGTGCCTCTGCGCTGCGATCAAGCGACTCCGTGCGACTGGCTCGTACATTGGTTCGGGGCGAGCTTGACACATCCCTCTGCGTTGTGACGTGTCCTCGCCCCTGTGCGGCGGCTGAAATCGCCCTCGCGCGATTCTCTGATGTGGGACGCTGTAATGTTCTGATTCGATTGAAATTGCACGACAGAGATGTACGGTACAGTTTGGTGAATTTAAAACACATTTCTGTAATTGTCATTTTATAAGCGCATGCGCTTATAAATCTGACTCAATTATAAGCGCACCCCCCTAAAAATCACTGTTTTATTATAAGCGCACATGCGCTTATATCCGGGGTGATACGGTATATACCGTAGCGTGGTCACGGTAACACGGGAAATGTGGGCTTGGCGCAGGGGTTGGGAATTGTCGAGGCAGAGGACCGGAGCCCTACTAACCGTGTCAGAATATTATAGCTCATGCATATTGTGTAGGCTATAGTGGGGTAGCCCATAAGGGGTACAACCCAATTAGGGTTAGTACTTGTACCCAATTCATTCATAGTTCATTCATTCCTTGTTTCTTCTCAAACCAAACCCCACTCTCACATTCCCCAACCTTGTCTCTGGTCTTCCCCTCACTCCTACCCCTACCTGCCAGTCCTACTGTCACACGTCTCCTTGCTACTGTTGTCACTGACCCTTCCTTAGAGTCCACTGCTGCGTCTGCCCTAGTTGCTGAGCTCGTCGACTTTGCTGCTCGCTGTCGCCTAGACTATGTCGCCAGTCTTGTTGCTGAGTCTGAGTCTGTCTGTCCTCCGTCCGTCGGGGGTGAGTGTGCCCTTGGCACGGACGTCCTTGAGGACAGGCAGGAGGAGTTCCAGTGCTTGGCCACTGCTTCACCTCATCTCGTGTCCGTACTGCTTACCCCTGAGGGAGACCCGGATGCACTTGACATCCCGACTCCGCGCTCTTACGCGGAGGCGATAGAGGGTCCCTACTCCTCTCAGTGGCAGGCAGCTATGGACGCAGAGATGGCTTCCTGGAAGTCCACAGGCACCTACGTTGACGCTGTTCCCCCTCCTGGGGCGAACATCGTCAGTGGCATGTGGATTTTCAGGGTGAAGCGACCGCCGGGTTCTCCGCATGTCTTCAAGGCGCGTTACGTGGCTCGTGGCTTCAGTCAGCGGCAGGGAGTTGACTACTTTCAGACCTTCTCTCCCACCCCGAAGATGACCACTCTTCGGGTACTGCTGCACGTAGCTGCTCACCGTGACTACGAGCTACACTCTCTTGACTTCAGCACTGCTTTCTTGCAGGGCAGCCTGCACGAGGAGATCTGGCTGCGTCGCCCACCTGGCTTCACTGGGTCTTTTCCTCCTGGCACCCAGTGGAGCCTACGGCGGCCAGTCTACGGTCTCCGCCAGGCACCGCGTGAGTGGCACGACACACTGAGGACTACACTTGCGGCTCTTGGGTTTGCTCCCTCTACTGCCGACCCGTCGCTGTTTCTGCGCACCGACACTTCTTTGCCGCCGTTCTACATCCTCGTGTACGTCGACGACTTGGTCTTTGCCACAGCTCACACTGCTGGACTAGCCCACGTGAAGTCCGAGCTGCAGAAGAGACACACGTGCACTGACCTGGGTGAACTGCGCAGCTACCTTGGCTTGCAGATCACTCGGGACAGAGCACGCCGCACCATTACCCTGACTCAGTCACACATGGTGCAGCAGGTCCTTCAGCGCTTCGGCTTCACGTACTCCTCGCCTCAGGCCACTCCTCTGCCTACTCGCCACTCGCTCTCAGCTCTGCCTTCGGATGAGTCCGTAGAGTCGAGTGGCCCGTACCCAGAGCTTGTTGGCTGCCTCATGTACCTGATGACCTGCACACGACCTGACCTTGCATACCCTCTTAGCATTCTTGCACGCTATGTTGCTCCTGGGAGACACAGACCGGAGCACATGGCTGCAGCGAAGAGGGTGTTGCGCTACTTGTGCAGTACGTCGGGCATGGGGCTTGTGCTTGGAGGGCAGAGTCCAGTGGTCCTTACTGGGCACGCAGACGCTTCTTGGGCTGACGACCAGGCTACGCAGCGGTCGTCACAGGGTTACACCTTCAGCCTTGGTTCCGGCTCTGTTTCGTGGCGGGCTACCCGCTCGTCTTCTGTTCTCGGCTCCAGTTGTGAGGCTGAGATCTACGCAGGAGCCATGGCTGCACAGGAGCTTCGCTGGCTCACCTACCTGCTGACTGACCTCGGAGAGCTGCCTCGTTCTCCTCCAGTGCTGTACGTAGACAACAAGGCCATGCTGGCCTTGTGTCGGGAGCAGCGACTGGAGCACAGAACGAAGCACATTGCTCTCCGCTACTTTCTTGCTCGTGAGCTGCAGCAGCGTGGTCAGCTGCGTCTTGCGTACGTGGCCTCTGAGGCCAACACTGCTGATATCTTCACCAAGGCGCTTGCGCCTTGTGACCATCAGCGCTTCTGTACTCAGCTGGGCCTTGTGCCTACCTTGCCTCACTTGCTCACCTCTTGACCTTGCTTGTGCTGTTACATATATATATACCTGCTCTTGCTTGTCTAGCCTTTATATATATATGTACTCCTGCATGTGAACTGGCCTTGTGGCCTTGAACTTGTGCTCGGAATGTGTGGTGACTTTGTGATCCACCCTGAGCTTGCTTTGCTTTACTTTGCTTGACTGGTCTTGTGACCCCTTGTTCTCCCCCACTTTGCCTATGGGGGTGTGTCAGAATATTATAGCTCATGCATATTGTGTAGGCTATAGTGGGGTAGCCCATAAGGGGTACAACCCAATTAGGGTTAGTACTTGTACCCAATTCATTCATAGTTCATTCATTCCTTGTTTCTTCTCAAACCGAACCGTGAGGTTGGGTCACGATGTGA